CTGTTTCCCTCCTAGAGTGTGGCAGTTATTTATCAAACTCTCAAGGAAGAAGACGAATTACCTGATCAGGTGTCGAATCTGAGAATATGCGGATCTAAATACGAAGCTCTACCGTCTGAGCAACTCTGGTCTAAAATTAATTAAATAAAAACAATATAAATCAAAGAAAGAAAACTATCGAAGAGCGTAAGAGATTACTGCATATTCCCTTCGACGTTCTAAAGTTTAAAGAAGCCTAATAAACAATTTCTGGGAAATAATGAAATCATAAAAAAATGAAATAAAAAGGAAAGTGTACTTCCGGTTGAATGGTCCTTTCCAATTCCAAACCAATTCAGAGCTTTGGAGTTCTTTGGCAAGGACACAAGCGGTTTCTTCCTAAAACACAAATTACTGTGGAACAACAGTACAGAAGCATAGTATGCTGAAAATATTTCGTCTACTATCTGACGTTACCTATTCTTCATCGTTCATTACTTGCCCCTCATCATTATGAACATCAGCAATAGCAGATGTATCATTGTTCTAAGGGTCTGCGTCAAGGTCTACCTCGGACTACTGAGCCGTAGGGGCGAAAATATAACTTCAAAAAATTCTTTCTACCGGTGGCAGTTTTTAACACTTCGAATAAAATGAATAATTCTATCGTAAGGAAATCTGTAAAATTAGTTATTCAGGATTTCTCGGCAAACTCTGCACATCTAAGAGTTTCCTGAGGGTTTGCTGCCATCAAAATTCCCATGTAATCTTAGCCTGGTCTCTGAACGCATTGCTGTTATACACCAGTTTCCACTGTTTACGACTGTCATTCGAATTTAGAGGTTAACGTGTCACCCATGCATGGTATTTCTCAGGAAGAAGATCAAGTTGACCTCAAGATCATGACAGACATCATGACCAGAAAAACGACCATTTATTCAACCTGTACAAAAGTCGAGGATTTCGCAAACGAACAACAATGATGAATGCGTCTCAGCGCGGCTCCGCGAAACTTGGCCGTTAAGTTTGCACT